GATGCCATTGCTTACAGGTCGCAAATCCAAGGACCACCATCAATGCTACATTTTTTGTTTCCAGAATATCATAACACTAAGCCACATAGCAAGCTTCCATGTATGTATGTCCTTAACGGCTTGTAAAACGCAAGAGCTGTCTCAAATATTCTGCCTCTATATGCAAGAATGCTGAGATTTGATTGACAGTGGCAGAGGGATATTAATCCAACAATATCGTTTTTACTGTCCTTGTCGTTAGCAGTGGTGTATTACTGTCTTGAATCACGTGTTGAAGTGTTGGTTTAGACCACTTCCAAGTCTTATGCCACAAGAAACTAACTGGAACGTTCACAGCGGATATTTCGGCGTAATAAAACAAAGTGCGGAACACATGCAAATGATAAGTTCAGGTTCCATTCAGTTTTGATTTTTGAGAGGCAGCTTCCGGCAATATTACATTGTCCAAGACCATTTCGAGATTTATGGACCATCGGCAAGATTCTATAATCTATTCTTTGACTCACAGGAAGCCGGTGTGGTGATTTGAGGAAAGGTGTAATGTGGCTCAGTTCATTGTCCAAGACCATTTCGAGATTTATGGACCATCGGCAAGATTCTAAAATCTATTGTGATTTGAGGAAAGGTGTAATGTGGTTCAGTTTCCTGGTGTTTGTAAGGACTTTGTCGTAAAAGAGACCCCGTAAAAGAGACCATTACAGTAATCTTGTCTACTGAAAATGAAAGCATGAACTAGATTTTCTGTATCTTGTTGAGACAAAAAAAAAAATTTTATTTGATTTGTGTTTTTTTCAGGGGCTAAAAGGCAGATTTAGTTATGGCTTTTAAGCAATTGTTAAAATTCAGGTCTGAGTTATTCAAGATTAATCTATTCTTTGACTCACAGGAAGCCGGTGTGGTGATTTGAGGAAAGGTGTAATGTGGCTCAGTTTCCTGGTGTTTGTAAGGACTTTGTTGTAAAAGAGACCCCGTAAAAGAGACCATTATAGTTATCTCGTCTACTGAAAATAAAAGCATGAACTAGATTTTCTGTATCTTGTTGAGACAAAAAAAAAAACTTTAATTTTTTTTGGTGTTTTTTCAGGGGCTAAAAGGCAGATTTAGCTATGGCTTTTAAGCAATTGTTAAAATTCAGGTCTGAGTTATTCAAGATTTCTGACCTCATTTGTTGCTTTCAATGATCTTGGACCTTTCACTTTTGGGGCCAGAAAATCACTTTTGTTTCATCTGGATTGAACTGGAGAACAGGCAGGAGAGATTCTGTGGTCTGTGGACTTGTGCGGGGAATTTTTTTTTTTTTTTAAAACATTTTCATCTGATCCAACACAGCAGCCTATTGTTGTGAATTTCCATGTCACGTACATAAGACCACTGTCTGTGATTCCCTCCCTCCCCATCTGTCCAAGCCTCCATCTCTTCATTCTGCCCAACAGGTGGGAAGACAAAAATGCTTTGAACAACAGACTCGAGACGAAGGAGGGAGCACCACATGGCTTTATAGGTTGCGTCGCGAAAAGCACAGACCTCTCCGCTGCTAAAAAGAAACAAAAGATAGCCGAGGAGATTCATCGATTTTAGAGCAATGAGAAGGTAAGCGTGCAGAACTTGGAGGGAGAAGTATTTGCAAGAACAAGACGTCATGCCGAGACATGATGAAAGGGAACGGCTCTTCGATGCGTCGTCTTGGCACTTCCTTATAAATTATTTTTTAGTGTTATCAAAGTGATGGCAACAACAAATGCAGACTAAATGAAAATGTGGGGGGGGGGGGGAAAACACCAGTAAGCGTCAGAGTCATATGATGCAACAAATGCACTTGTCAGCTGGATGCCGAGGCCATGTCTCCGCTAAATCTCACTGTGAAACAAAATTCGTTTTCCGGGACCGGAAGCTCAGCAAAGCTAAAAATAACAGGAAGAGCAGTCATATTGTAGGAATATCCATAAAAGTCAGTGGAAGAATAGGAGGCAGCTCATAAATAAATAATTGGAGGAATAAAAATGAGCTTCACACAAGATGTTCATCTTTGTAATTACTCGCACAGAAAACCAGGTAGGAACATTACTGGCCCTGATCTGCTCATTTGGAATCAATTACAGCTACCAGTGGATGGCTGGTGAAAAATGTTAAGGCGGCAGTGTGCAACATCCTGTAAATATTCAACTTGTAATTGCAAACAATCTCAATGTAAACATAATTAGTGCTTCTCTGTATGGAATGTGACCACGCGCTTTTAACTTCTGTCTCGGCCACGTTACGAGACTCGATTATAAGTTAGCCAAAAGCTGCAATAACAGCGGTGGACTTAGTATTCAGACTGGAGCCGCATTCACTATCATCTTTGTCCGAGAAATATATCCAAGCTAATCAGACGTTTCTAATAATGACGAGAAGCGAGTGGGGGAGAACATAATTAGATTCCCTCATATTCTCAAAGAGAAAGGACACAATTCCTTGCTCTGTTCAAAGGATCATATTGTGCATTGCTTACAGCCGTGGGCGAAGACGTGTGAAGTGGGTCTTTGTGCTAAACACAATGTGCCTACATGGGAAAACATCTCACACGGATTTGCTTCTCAGCTTCCAAAGAATTCCTCGATCTTCATGTTATTCATTTTATGATTTTTTTTTGTAAAGCTTTGTATCTCCACGTGAGGCAATTGAGAACAGATTCTTATTTGCAGTGTTTGCTGACAGCTGAGTAACTAAATAAAATGCTAAAATGCTAACAACAAGCGCAAATCCACTGTGTATTTTTATGTATCTTTACTAGCAGCGGCATAACAAAGCTCGCAACCATGCTTTGATATGGTCACAATGGTAACACTTAAACATGCAGCAGACACCACAGAACAAATACTAATCCGCAAAAGATACAAGCAACACAAATGCTGGGGTGTTTTGTCGATATAACAATGAACATGAAGCCACATGTTATGTAACTACGTTAGCTAAAATGCGCCAATATAACAAGGTACCACAGAATAAATATAAGGTACAGAAAAATCCCCTGTCGTGGTAAATCCATATTTCAAGTCGCTTCTCCGGGTTGTGTTGTCTCATCACTGGGCCTTTTCCCCCGTTGCAAAGAAATTTTCCAAATACACAATACAGTTTTTACTCATTTTGCTAGCGAGTCTGCCATCGAAGGATGTAACGCACGCTGAAGAAAATGGCGTGTTGATTTTGCGCAATTTGATGTCATTAAGCATTAGTAAAAATGCGAAGGTAGCAACAGAAATGAAACAGCAGGAGCTTTAAAAGCTTTTGGTTGGGGGTGGATTTGTGTCCAATAAGCCTCGCCGAGGATTAAAGTATGTTAATGCAATAGCAACACAAAGTGGACGCAACGCACACACAAGCACACAGTAAGCAGGGTTACTGCATGTGAACAAAACCGAGGCAAAGGAACGAGCCATGTGAAAAATGACCCATTATTGGTTCTCACAAGTTCTTCATTCGGGCTGACTACTGTCACAGAGCAGATGTAATTGGCACATCGCTCATCGACTTCATCTCTTAACTCTTGAGATCATTATGCAATTAGTCATGTCTTGGTGAGTCAAGGAATTTACTAGCTCACATAACGGACCTTAATGAATCCATATTTCACGCATATACAGAATAAAAACAATTTTGCCTTGACCTGAAGTTTCCACAAGAGCTCTCTTGACCATTAGCTCTGCAAAAAGAAGCCCCAACACAACGTTCGCTAGGGGAGAAACTCCCTGATGAGACTTCAAACTGGGTAATTTTTCTTCAGCGAGGCCTCACATTCGCTTGAAGTTCAGAAGAGAAATGCAGCTGAGTAGCCATGTAATGAGAGGCCATCTGAATCAGTGCTCATTAGTGACAACAGTAGGACGTTGAAACTGCAGGGTCATGATTTGTCATTTGCTCTTTGGCTTTTAAATGCAACAGAATAAAGGATTTGTGTTTATTTGACATTTTGAAGACCCTTTACGTTAGTTTGCTGTTGAGCAGTTTTGTGCCATCCTTGAAGAGGGCCCTTAGCACTGGAGTTTTTTTTTTTTTTTTTGTCCAAATCTAAAATAGCCTTTCTGTCATACATCTGTTTGGGAAGTGTGTGGTCCTGGGTGCACTGATGACAAGTTGTGGCGCCCTCCAGCATCTACTATAAGCTACCTATGCCTGATTTAGAATCTTCAACGACACTGACATGCATGTTTTTGGAATGTGGGAGGAGGCCGGAGTATCATGACAAAACTCCACGCGGGGTGAACATGCATACATCCCACAGGAGAGCCTGATGGGAGGATTTCATCACGGTGAGGCTCGGTTCCGTTTAAAAAATATATATTTTACAGATTCACCAACCTGTAAATAATATCGTATTAAAAGACATGGAGACTTATCAGTTGCGGTCGTATGGGCTCAGGCTGCAGACGAGCGCTTACAGAGTGAAATTAATCTGGTGTGAAATGATGACCGCTGATGTTCCTCAGGACAGAACACAGAGGACACTCGTGACGCCGAGCACTGCGACCGTGTTCCAGCAGTGCTCGCTTCTCTGCGGGCAACACTGTGCACGCCATGCTGCATAACCAAAAGTGCCCTTTCATCCATGCGCCACCAAATGCTTTGCTCGTCTTGTATTAGAAATCTTTCACATCAGATACGCTGACATTTCCTTTCTGATCTTCTTTTTTTTTGCCTCTACAAACAAAAGTCCTGAGAGATTTATTAGCCCAAACAAAGGACAAGTTATGCCCCGCCATAGCTTTGTGCGCGGATTCTGTCTGGTGATGAGCCTGAGAGCCTTCAGCATCCATGCTAGTTTCAATCCGCACAAGACAAGGTCAAGATGCGCCACGTCCCTGTGGCCAATGAGCTAATCCCCCCCCTCCTAGCCGATTCACATATCCTATTCTCCAACACTGAGCCGCCCACTCTCTCATTTGCATGGTCCCATTCACAGTGGGAAAAAAAAAACAAAACAAAACAATAAGAGTGTTAGACAGAACATCAACACACTCTACCTTATTACTTTGCTGCCCAGGTCAGAGAAGAGCCAACTCAGAGAGCATTAAATCCTGCAACACAAACAATGAGCTTTAATCATCAAACTAAACACATTGAGAGCAAAGGGTATCTCTTTTTCCATTTCGGTTGAAGAAAAAATAAAAAACCCCAGATAAGCACACTATTTATTTTAATGAAGATTTGTACATCTTACTGCATTAACAGAAGACGTCAGATGATGTGATCTTAATCGGAATCAGAAATCCAATTTAAAAAGATCAATTCCCGACTTGAGATATAGGCCATTTGTTCTGAAGCGCATTTTAATTACACAAGACTGATTAGATTCAGGTTTCTTCCTGAAGCAGGGACAAATCTGGAAGGTAAATGGGAGAAACTTGACTTGTGGATGTAGTGCAGCGTGGATCATAATCGAAAAAAAAAAGGCAATTTCTTCGTTAATGCCACAAAGGCAAATTCCGTTTACACTTAGTCCACATATATCGACTATCGTTTAATTCTATTCCTAACTCAGAGTAAAAACAGCACGGAGCACTTAAAACGGAAAAGAAAACGAAGTCCGTCATTTACCAAAGTTGACATTTGCTAAAAATAGTTTTGTAGAAACACGTTGAGTAGAATTAATGCTTAACACGTCCGCGTCTCACATGACGAGGACTCACCTGGCATTAATTCACGAGAGCAAACCCTTTGCCAAGAAACGATGTCCCTTGAGACAATCAATAAAATGGCTTGCAGCACCTGACCTGGGAAACGCTGATTAAAAGGATTCGTTTTGTTTATTGGGACGGCAATCAAACCCAACCGCAGACTTTTTTTTTCCAACTGTGACGTTACCTGATTGCGTGCCACTCAGTAAGGCGGATCAGCGATCCGAACTGACCGTTACCTGACCTCCACTTGATTTGAGAAACCTGACCTGCAAGCGGGGGGTGGGGGGGTGGCAAGAGCCCCATTTTGGATTTTTCCGCCGAGGTTCATCTTTCATTAGCATGAGGTCATTCGAAGATGACCACGGTAAGTTCACTGGGTCCACTTGTGAACAGCCACGGTTTTCCCGAAAAGTATTCACAACTTCTTTCCCCTTTTAGGTCGCAACCATATTCATTCAATCATGGAATCCGTTCCTCACAGCGGGATGATTCTATCATCATGATTAACTGTCGGCGTGGTATTGCCCAGGTGATGAGCGGTTCCCTCCACCCCCAACATGACATCTGGTTCTCTGGAGCTCAATAGTCAGATTGTGTCACCGTCGAGATGTGCAAAGCTGGTTGAAACATCGGCCAAAAGGCTTTTCATTTTAACAGCAGAGAAAGGTGGCTCGACAAAAGCATCGACGCTGGAGGGCTGAACACAAAAGCACGCCGCATTTTTGAGACTTGCATTCGCCTGGGATGTTGAAAACGATGTGGCGTTTCCATTCAAATACTCAACGAAATGCTACTTTGTGTTGGTCGATCATATGTCGTCTCAATAAGTGGTCGTAAGGTGGCAAAATGTGAAAACGCTCGAGTGGTGTGAATATGTTTCAAGGCATTGGAGGTGATTTCTTGGTTTTGAATGTGAAGTTTTTCACCTTGTCATCATTGGGGTGTTGCGTGTCGCATTTTGAGGATAAATGAATGCAATCCATTTGGTGTAAGAATGTGCCAAAAGACCTATGAATACCTTTGTATACATTAGATTGGCTCGGATTGCAACATTCTCTTTGATATGAGAATGTTTTCCGCAGATCAAATGAAACAGGCTGTCCTTGAGAACCTCCACCGAGCCTGAAGAAGAGCGCGTGCCTTGTTCTGATGTGATTGACGCAAGAACCAGGCCCAATTTACAGAGCAATATGAACCATTGAATGAAAGTCACATTTAGTGAGGTGTTAATTGCATACTGATGATTGTTTATTGAAAGAACACTAACATTTGTGTTGGTACACAACGGGGTCAATTTTGAGCAGGCGATTATGAATGTGGATTTGGAAAATCTGAATTATTTAAAGGAAGGGACTAGCCTACCCTCAAGTAGGTTATACCTTGGTGTGATGCATTTGTCACCGTTTCAACAGAAAGCCCGAAGCAGACATAAGCAGCCGTTAAAAGAAGTGGATTCGGTTCCCATTTGAATGACAGAGCCCGGATCTAGGGCAGTTTAGGCCTCCCCGTGCTTCATCACAGTATGTCATGTGTCCTGTGTCCTGTGTCCCAGACTTCAGGACACAGGGACTTGGCATTCATTATCATACGTAGAAATTGACCAAAATGTCTTCCCGCATATGCACTCTGAACTCACACCGCCATCGTCTCTCCTATTGGACGCGCCGAGATGTCGTCACAAAGTCCTGTCGTATGTTCAGTTCGGCCGCCGACCCACCTGCGGCACGGCGCCGCGCCGCGGCAGCACATACGGAATAAATTGCTTGCCGCTGTGTGAAAAGGCCTTAAGTCTTCCTTGACTATTTTAAGATTGGGAATCAACAGCTCAACACACACACACACACACACACACACACACACAAAAACACTTTCAGTTCCTCTCGCATACTTACTTGTCTTTGTGGCGTAAAAGCCAAGGCTCAGTATTGTCAATAGTTTATTGATCCTCGAAAGGGCGCATGAGTTGACGTGTTCTGAAATTCACTTAATGACAATCTTTTTGCGAAGGCTTGAATGTGAACCTGGGGGGGGGGGGTGCCCTAGCAAGGAATGGAATTCAAAGGAAGATTGCTTCTGTTTTCACCCTGATTGTTCCCAAACACCGCTAAGATCACATTAATATCGGCGTTTGACCTTTTACTTCTGTTTCATAAACTAACCCAAATAGCAAGTACAACTTGTCGCAAATCAATCACGCGGCATGCGGAGAGACCGACGACCATTCACTCGCACGACCACTCCGTGTGGGAAGTGAGGTGACCAAAGCGGCGTACCAGAAGTGACTCACGGTTTACTTGTCAGTCATTATAACAGCTGTTAGACGGTAACCGAAGCCTGTGATCATACGTGTACATGTCGACGACTGTTGCGACACAGGTTTCCTTATTAACAAAGCTTGAATAAATATAACAATACCGCTTTGTCTGGCAGTGTCAATCGCATGACTGTAGTTGTAAAATTAGAACGACGATAGGAAAATGCATGTTCCAGGATGAAAAGTGTTGAAAACCTGCCCTGGATTTGGCGGTTGTAAACGAAAAGTCTATCAGTAATTGGAGGGCATAATTGCACATCTCCATCACGTTGAAATATCTTCTTGGTCATCATTTTTGGGCGACTGACTCCAAGAGACCGTGTCACTTCATGCTTCACTTTTTGCGTCCTCAAACTTTTAGTCCTGGCACACTAAACTCCTTTAACCTTCTTTTAAGTGCGCCGTTAAGCTAAATTTACATTTAGTCGCTCGTGAATTCAAATGTCAAATGTTATGAGAAAAGAAATGGTGGATGGAACACTTACATAATTTGTTAGAAAGAACCTTGAGCACTCTTTGGCATAGGAAATTTCCCCTGCCTGTGAATTATAATATTTAAGTCGTTAGCTGCTTAGCTGCAAGGACATTTTTTTTTTTTTTTTTTTGTGCAAATAGCGCAAGGTCGCTTGGTTCATTCCTCGCTTCCTCGGGGAAATGTCATTCCTGCCACGTCTATGTCTGGTGTGTAAACATAGCGTACATTCCTGCAAACTGCATGATGTGCATTTCCTGTCGGCAACAACTATCATTCTTTCATTGTCTTTGACAGGAAGCCTTTTTAATTTATTTGACACTGAGCAGTCGCTTGATCAATATAGTCACGAATAATAACAACTCTATCATCGGAGAGGACGCGTGCCTTCTGCGATCTCCCTCCGTCCTCCTCGTCATGCTGACAACCCCTAATAATCCCTAATTGTGTCAACGGCCGTAGTCGTAGCAACAGTGTGAGCAGAACTCCTCCAAAAGGAGAGCAGGGATGAGAGGACCGAAAAGGACAAAATGTCTCCACCACTAATGCAGAACTAACATTTGTTCTCGTAACACACACAAAAAAAAAAAACACACCAAATTGTCTCCTTCCATCAACTCATTTTTCACTTACCTCGAGTCCCATTTTCCGTTTGATTATTTCTCCGTTTCCACATCTCCGTAACTATCCTCCGCTCCCTCGTGAGCGTTTCTACACGGCTCTCCTCCCTCGTCCTCCTCCCGCGAGGCCTCTCCATCAGCACCTCCCACTGAGCTCTCGGAGTGTCCCGTGTAACCCCACAGGAGCAAGAGCGCTAAAATATTGATGGAAGCCTGATGAAGGCGACCGCCGGCACACTCCGTGGGGGGTAAGTGGGAGGTGGGGGGGTGGTGGCGGCTACGCGGGACCACTGCCAGGAGGAGTTTGAACGAAGTGAGAAGGATGGATGTAGTTTGCTTGGCAGACGGGAGTGAAATGATGCAGTGTGGAGGCTTCTCATGTACCGCCCGATGAGTTGGTCTTGATGCGGGAAGCAGCCAACGCTGTTTATGATCCAGCCCTCCCTCGTGCCTCGCTGGCCTTCTTCGACTCTCTGTGCTCCTCTTTCATCTCTTTTGGCAGCATTTTCCATCGCATCCAAACATTTCCCCCCCGCCGTCACCTCCTCCTCCTCCTCTCTTAAAGTTGTCACCATTTGACCAAAGTGAGCGGCTACCTTGTAATTTTCTCAGGTGACTTTGCTGGGGTTTTTTTTTTTTTTTAGGTGACCTTTTGATCTCTCTTTTGTAAGTGACCTTGCCAAAGAGAACTATAAGAATTGCCATGGAAACGGCAATCTTGATCAGTGATGCTCATGAAGAGAGAGTATGGGAGAAGGGAACACACACACACACACACACACACACACACACACACACACACACACACACACACACACACACACATTTAAATGTAAGACATCATATCACTTCTTGCTGATTCCTGAACACCATAGTTGAGATTACCGGTATGATAGCGCGGCCTCCCTTTGATCTGTTTTCGTCTTGAACCACTTCTCTTAGCTTCATTTTGTGCTTAAAATAATCAGTTAAGTTTGCTCTGCGAATGACT